TTAGCCAAATAGTTTTGGGAAGTGTGTGCAAATTTAGAATTAACATTTTTATGCAAAGGCCACTTCCATATTGTACCTTTTTAACTGATGTGAGGAGGAAAGGGAGCCATAAACACGAGCTCTGGCAGATGTCCAGGGTGAAAAAGGAGGAGAAAGAAACTGGTGGCTCTACTGACATAGTAAATATAGGAGAAAGAAGGAAAACTTAGAAGCAGGGGAGAGTAGAAAGAATATGGGGAGCTAGGCATGGTGGCTCAGGCCCCCCAGCACTTTGGGGGGCCGAGGCAGGTGGATCACAATGTAAGGAGATCAAGACTAGCCTGGTCAACATGGTGAAACCCTGTCTCTACTAAATATACAAAACTTAGCTGGGTGGGGTGGCACGTGACAGTAATTCCAGCTACTCAGGCGGCTGAAGCAGGAGAATTTGAACCCAGGATGTGGAGGTTTCAGTGAACCAAGATCGTGTCACTGCACTGCATCCTGGCAAGAAAGAGAGAGCAAGAGCGAGAAAGCAAGAGAGACAGAGAGAGAGAGAGAGAGAGAAAGAGAGAGAGAGAGAGACAGAAAGAGAGAAGGGGAAAAGCTTCCTTTCAATGAACAAAGTTCAAGTTGCTATATTATGTAAAATATTTGATAGTGATTCTCTTATGATACATTCTCTTGTTTCCTTTTAACTTTTTTGAGAATTCATTATTTATCTTATTTAACTTTAGGGGCTTCTTGTAGTCTTTTAATTAATCTTATTAAATACAAAAAATGTTTATATGAATATAAACACCTATCTATGCCATGTTTTGGTGTAACTTCTTTAGAGAATGATTTTTCAGAGATTGAATGCATATATAAAATCCTGAAGAAAAACAAAATGAAATAAATAATCCTACTGGGCTTAGCATAAATTTACCAATAAGGAGTCGGGAAAAAAATGAGATGTATTTTATATTGAATGTAAATAATAAGTACCAATAGAAAACCAAGTTGCCTAGGATGTAAGTAATCATTAAAAGGTGGCAGTATTTTAGAAACACTTAAACTTTCAATGATCATTTCACCATGGTAAGTGTCACTTCTCAATAGAAGCTTTCTATTCTAAGCCTTTCTTCCATGGAATTTCAGAGAGATATGATTCCTGAGGTGCGTAATGCTATTTTGCTTCTTGCTATGAGTTTGAATACTAGTTAGAAGAGTTTTGTTAAACAAAGAAAAGCAGCTGGTCTTGCCAGTGAAATGTATCCCATCCCTTGCAGATTCTATGCTCAGTTACAAGTTTGCAGATAAAAATTGTCCGTTTCCATTTCTCCAAGTCACTCCTAAAGGAGAAGAGAGATTAAAAAGATAATGTAAAAACAGTCATGAATCATACTATTTTTTTGCTCTTCTCCAACATATTCAAATAGTGAGATATGCTTAAATATTGCAAATATTAACAGCAGTCCACCTTAAACTGGTAAAGGGAGCGGGGAGAAGGAAAGAAAGAATAACAGAAATTATACCAAGGAGTATGAGGAAGCAGGCAGCTGGTGTTCCATAGAAACCGGCCAAGGGCTCAGGCTGTCCCTTACATGAAAAATTGCAGGACAGTCGGGACCGTCCTAGCACCGCTGCCTATTCTACTTCCTTTGTACTCTCTTACCATCTCCTCTACCTTATCTCACAGCAGCAGAGCCTTGGAGACCATCCTAACTGGCTATAATGTGGAGAGACTCTGTGTCTCTACCCAAGACTATAAATATGAGAGAAGATGTACCCAACGATTAACATTTTGTGCCCTCTTCCTCTTCCCACCAAGTCGCTGCAGTCCAGCCCAGTCTTTGCAAATACTCACCTGTGCTTTCTCGGTTGTGAAGGATTGGTTATGAAGTTGATTGGATTACAAAACAAAGATGGTAGAGCTAAAAAAATAACTATCTTATTTGATGTAGATTAGCATAGCTTTATGACACGGGGCTTCTCTTACGTATCTGTAATCTCTTTGCCCTTACGGATCCTTCTAGACTGTGAATTTGCTGCCTTTCAGCAAACTGGTGTAGCTCCTTACTTTTCATAATTTTCTCTAATAATTGAAGGATGCTGAGCTTGTCTATCCTCTGACATAAGCCTAGAATACAAAAAGTAGTTAATAAATACTGATTTTTAAAGTTATTTTAAGGGCAAGAGAAACTATATGATGAATTCACTTAGCTATTTTATATATTTAGGTTTTAAAAGGCTTTTTAATTACATAGACTCAGTACTTGTCTTCTTTAGACATAATAAATAATTGAGTTTTTATTAAAAATCAAATCCCGTTTTAAAAAGCTGTGCGCGCGCGCGTGTGTGTGTGTGTGTGTGTGTGTGTGTGTGTGTGTGTGCCTGTGCCTTCTCTGGGGCCTACTTCATAATCAATGCAAAGGGAAAAAAACTGTGTATAAAATATGATTGGACAATCAATGTGAACTGTGACAAACACATAATTTGGCTCATATGTACACAACATTGTATAAAAAGGAGTTGACCTTCCAATCCCACTGACATATCTCTATAGTAAGAACATCCCTAAGACTTTTTAAACTCATCTTCTAAATTCCTTTAGCTTTCACTGTTTCTTCACTAACATAATCTTTAGATTATAATTTAGCTTCCCAGATAAACTGCAGAAAGAGATCATGTTTCATATGAACACAGCATTCTGATTCTTGGGCTATTATTTTTGTACTATAAATTAATACTGTTATTCTGGTGCCAAAGCCTTGTGGGAACTTCAGCTATGTTAAATTAGCTCAACTGCTGATCATCCACAAACACCAACAAGAGTGAGTATCCAGGTCTGCAAAGCAAAGGACCAGAGCTCAGAATAGGGTTATTAAATGTGGCACTAAATAGTATGACCTTCTGTCTCTCTCAACACTTTTTCTTCAGCCAATTCCCCTCCATCTCCATATTGACACACACCACGTTTTCTCACAAAACAATGTTAGAGAGACTATTGCCTAGGCTACCTCTCAAGATACAATATAACCCTAACTCCTCCTAAACTCCCTAGAGTATGGATTCTAGTATGTGAGCTCCTTTGAGCTCTGTCTCTCAGGACTACACTGAGCATTGAGCTCTCCAGAGCCCCAGAGTGAGCGTGGTGTAGTTGGAGCTCAGACACAGCTGGGTAACTTCTGCAATAGTAAGATGGAAAAAACTCCTCCTTGTCCCTGTCCCAGGAGTGTACTCTTAGATGAACTCTCCATCAGAAGAGAAGAGAAAATGTATTCATTCAACTGATAATGTAGTAGGAGCCTGCCTTATGCTCATGAGACATGAAGTAGAACAATTCCTGCTTTAGCAAGTTTACATTCTAACCTCAGTAGGGTGGATGCAGAGTGAAAAAATAAATTAAGAAATAAGACAATGGTTAATAAGTACTCTGAAGATAATTGAATGGGGAAATGTTACAGAGGATGATTAGGGAAGAGAATAAGACTTCTGTGAATGAGGTGACCAGAAAATCACTTGGATGGAGACATTTAAATGGCACCTTGAATAATCACCATCAGAGGGCTACACACAAAATAGAGGGCCAGATGGACAGTGTGGCCAGAGTACAGTGAGCTTGGTGAAAGGTGGTGAAAAATATAGGCAGCAAATGAAGGAGGTAGGCCCTTGGAGGCAAAACTGAGGAGTTTCGATTTATTTCAGTTTCAAGTCCATTTGAGGGTTTAAGCAATATAGCAACATAGCAATAGTCTAACCAAAGTTCTGGCTGCTATGTTGGCATGAACTGTAAAATGGTAAATGTAGAAAAGAGAGTCAGGTAAGAAGCTATATTTCTGGCTCTGGTAAGAAATGACCATGGTTTGGTTTCTTGTCATGAAGAGACTTGCATGGGATATAATTTGGTTTACCCACAAACAATGAGACCAACTAAGAGATAAAATGTTGAAACTGGGGATTGGGGAGATGGCTCTTTCGGTTTTGGTATGAACAACTGCATGGTGGTGGTTCTATTTAATTATAGGTGGCAGACATGTGGAAGGAAAAGATTTGAGAGAGGCAGAGAAAGTTAGGGAAATACAAGTTTCATTTTGGCTAATTTAAATTTTAATTGGCTCTTAGGCATCCAGGGGTAGAAATAATCAGACCAGACCACTGGAGATCTGAATCCGCTTTTCAGGAAAGACATCATAGCTGTCAATGTAAATTAGAGCATCAGCCGCATAGAGATAGGTTTAAGCTATGAGACTGGACAAAGTCACATAGGAAGTGGGTTTATATGGAGAAGATAAGGGGACTGAAGACTGAGACCTAAAGTACTCTAAAGTTTAAAAAATCAGATAAGGGACAGGTGGCAGAAAAGAAGATGGAGAAGTGGTAGCCAATGAAGTAGGAGGGAAACTAAGAATATTTTCTAATACTAAAGCCAAGAATAAAAATAGTCTTTCAAGGAGAGAATAGTCAACTGATAAGCTGCAAATGAGAGACTGAGTTATATTTTTATGGAGAAATGGCCGTTAGATTTCACAAGTGAAGGTTAGTGGGGACCTTGAAAAGTTTATTTTTTAAATGATGACATCTGGTGAAAGGAATGTGATGTGCTACTTTTTCTATTTAAATTTCATAACCAATTGAATGCTGAAAAAAACTAAGTGGAAAATTGTGTTATCCAGACTATAAATTTCAGCATGGAATTATTGAGCATTAAATAAATGTAAAGAACTATGTCATAGCGTATAAAGGAAAAATTGAAGAGCTATCATTACATCATCTAGCTTAAAATATTTTCCAATCAAAGAGATTCCTAAATGTTAGAATGATGTTCTACAAGTTGAAAGGTAATTTTTATATTCAGATATTTATAATTTCTGACATTAAAGTCTGAAGCCATGTATATTGTAGTCATGAAGTAGAAATAGATATGTCCAAAAATCATTTGACTTAAAGCAAAAAACTATTATTTTCAGGTAGAAATGTCTTTCTGTGGCTTAAAACTATATATATATATATATTTTTTTTTCCCTCTAACCCAGGTATGGTGACATGGTGCCAAAAACCATAGCAGGGAAGATTTTTGGTTCTATCTGCTCACTGAGTGGTGTCTTGGTCATTGCTCTACCCGTTCCAGTGATTGTGTCCAACTTCAGTCGCATCTACCACCAAAATCAACGAGCGGACAAACGAAGGGCACAAAAGGTGAGTATTCAGCTCTGTGCAACCATGGTTTAGCACTTCTCACTTTTTATAATGAGCTTTAAAATTTCTTAATGGTTATTCAGTGCTCTGGATTAGTCAGTAGTTGCATTAGTGAGGACCAGGTTGATAATTCTATGCTCAAAAGAAACCTAACATCTCAGTAGCTTAAAGCAATAACTAGTATTTCTTAATCATGCTACAAGTCCATTGCTTGTCCAGAGAATAGAGACTTCATCTTGATAGCATACTTCTGCAGACACTCCAGCAGGAAAAAAAGGACATGATGAATCACACACTGCTTCCTAATGCACCCTCTTGGAAGTGACTTGAGTCACTTTCTTGTCTATTGCATTAACCAAAGCAAATCACACAGCAGTGTCTACCTTCAAAGTGGGCAGGAAAATACAATCCTACTGTGGGGCCAGAAGCAGAAATAAGAAATATTTGATGAACAGCACTAAGGACAATAGCAAAATCAGAAACAGATTATTGGCAAATTTTATTAAAATCAGATTTCTAGATCTGATTCGTTGAGTCTCAGTCTATCAAGGGTCAAGCTGGTTCAGTAGACAAGGGTTATTAAAGGACACCAAAATGTGTCTCTCAGATATCTTACATAGTTGATACAGGAAGTAATCTGATCATTTGTAGCTGAGTTTTGTTCTCGTCCCAGCAGCTTGCTGTTTGTTTGAACTTCATGCCAGTTAATTAATCCCTCTAAGAATAAGCATAATGTACACTCAACTATAAAATGGGGAAAATAATAAGATTAAGATTATATATAAATATATATAAATATATATAAACACATCATTATATTGTCAATATTTAATGTTTACTGATGGTTTATATGTGCCAGATATTAGTCTCATGTTTTTCACAAAGAATTCATATGTTAAAAGAAAAACCTTACCTTGGCCAAATTAAATTAACAGTTTAATTGAGCAAAGAACAATTCATGAATTGGGCAGCCTTTCAAGCCAGAGTAAGCTCAGAAACTCGAGCACAGCCACATGTTTAGAAAAAGATTTATAGGCAGTAAAAGGAAAGTGATACACTGAAAATGAAAGTGACGTACAGAAACAGCTGTACTGATTACAGCTCAGCATTTGCCTTATTTGAACAGAGTTTGAACAGTTGGCCCCCTTTGACTGGCCAAAACTCATTGGTTGGCACAAGAGTGGGTTATAGTCTGTTTATACCACCATTTAGGTTACAGTTCACTATGTGTAAAGAAATCTTTAGGCTAAACTTAGAATATGGTAAGGAGGCAACTTTAGGCTAAACTCGAGTCAACACATACAACCTTCACTAAAACTCTAGCAGTTAGTTACCATTTCATAGATGGGAATCCTCAAGTACTGCCAAATTAAGCAATCGTAAGATCACATACCTGTTAAGTTGCAGCTCCACCATTCCATCCAAGCCAGTCTTGCTCCCAGTTTCATACACAAAGACTATGATAAGTTCTCTCAGAAAAGCTATGTAAATGCTAGCATACTTCCCTTCCCCATTCTTTGTCAAAACAGTCACCTTGAGAGGCAGGTCCCTTGTTACTTAGAAGTAATCTTGGAAATCTCTTTTGTCGTTTCCTTAGGGCTTATGGCACTGTATTTCTAGTATTCTTCATAGTCGCTATGTCTTTGTCCTTTAAGGATACATTCATTTTTAAAAAATATCCAAAGCCATTCACAATCATGAGTAAAGTAGATGCACAACCTGGGTGATGTGTTATAACTAACAAAATATCATGAGAGACCTTGGTCTAGTTATTCACTGACTTTGTGGGTAATTCCAAAACAGGATCTTAAACACACATATGAACAGTGTCAACCTCTTTAGTAAAGTATAATCTCATAAAGTAAGACTTTGGAAAGTTCTAGTTAATCGGTGTGGCTACAAAACATATTTGTCCAGAGAACTAGCATGTTCTCTGTCAATTTATGCCCACTGTCAAAGATCCTCCCTTAGCAAAGAATTGCTTTTTTGAGCCCTGTAGTTACTTGTTTTATGGAACCTTTCATTTTTGTACAAATGTCTAGCCATTAACTAATTATTACAGAGAAGAGTTAAAGATAGTCCAGTCCACATGGATATAGAGAACTGGTCACCTAATGAATAGAGAGGAGTAGAAAAAGGCACTCTCTGGATAGTTGTAGTCTTATGTAGGGAATACATACCCTTGGCAAGCAGAGGTAAAGGGATTTCAGCCACAACTGATCCCACCACCAGGGACCTTCAAGCACCACAATTGTGGCTCTCCCCATAGTATAGTCCCTCTACTGGGTACATATGTACATTGTCTAAAATAACAGGATCCCACAAAAAGCTTAACTTCCAACCACCCATCCATCTCCATTCTAGAAATCCCTTCTTTAGTATAAGAGCCACCTATATGAAAACTATAGGAAGCACAAATCTAATTTCCCATAAACCAATTTCCCAAACACCTGAATTTCTTCAGAGTTTGTCATCTGCAACAAAGAAATCAATAAAGAAAATCTTAGGATCTTTTAGAAGCCTTTTGGCCTACTAAATACACTTAGAAATCAAAAATAAAAACTTTCTAAAAGTACACTAATTGAAAAGTATGTTTTATGGATGCTTTTTGGTATCTTTAAAATATTTGCTATATATTTTATTTCCTACCATAATGCAATGAATTTTACAGAGTTTTACTACTAGAAAAATTGGATTAATAAAGTCAGATATAATAACATAGTATACTACATGCAGTATATAGTCTGTGATCAATAAACTGAACATAATCTTCTAAGAAAGAACAGTGGATATGAACTAAATAAGTTACCAAGGGATATTTCCTATTTTCCTTCCCAAGAGATTAGAGGAAAAAAAGCAGAACAAACGCCCATTAGGCTAAGACAGTTTAAATTTATCTGGGTCTGGGCTATGTGCCAAATATTAAAGTTATGCAAAAATAACCAGCTAATTCAGTCAAGCAAGCATTCAATTCAGTAAAAACATCAGTCTAACGGACTAATAAAAGTAATATTACAAAATGGTTTTTAGACCATATTTTTGGTGTTTAATTCAATTGCCACTCCAAACCAAGCAAAAGCATGAAATAGACACAATATTAATTTGGGAAAATTCTCATCATCACCATCAGAAATACTTTCCTTCTTCTAGGTGCTTCCCTCTGCAAATGCTCTTCCTGCTTTTGCTGCTACCCACTCTTGCCATTTACAGGGAATACATCATTAACTCCATTTGTTTCAATCCTTGATAACGTCTTAAATACTGACATGCTTGTGGGTATAGGCCTGAACCTTGACACCTCTCCTCTACTCTCACCATTGGTAATTGTATTTTAATAGGTTTGTTGATTCTCTTAGTTATTCAATAAATATTTACTGAATAGAATGTATTAGCCAAAATAAAGATAGATTAATGCAATGACAAGTGGCAGGTTGATATTGTGAAGCAGTTCTTTTAAAATATGGATCACACCACCTAATCATCTGCATACTCACAGGCTAACCTGTGGGTAATTATTATATGATAATCATAGCAGTAATTATAGTTATAATTTAATAATACTAATTGCAACAACAAAAACCCTCACTAGTTTCTAGAATGTCCCAGGTGCTTTATATCTGTTTTTTGTTTATTCACAGTCAACTTGCAAAGGAAGTACACTATTTCCATTTTACAGATAACTTGCTCATGCTCACAAACCCTAGTGATTAAAGTCCAAGGCAAAAAAAATCTAGTATTATTTGAACTATGAATATTTTAGGATATTCCTGTAGATAATTCTGAACAGTGAGAAGTGTAGAATCAATGAGCCAATGTATAGTGTAATATTTTTAATTTTCACATTAAATTTTTCACAACGACTTAGAAAGATACTACGCTTATTTAGTCTGCCATTTATCATACCCTGCTAGCATGGTTTTCAAACTTCAGATTCATTAGAATCATCTGGAAAGCTTCTTTTTTGTTTGTTTTTTAGGTTTTTTTAAGACAGAGTTTCACTCCTGTTGCCCAGGCTGGAGGGCAATGGTACAATCTTGGCTCACTGCAACCTCTGCCTCCCGGGTTCAAGCAAGTCTCCTGCCTCAGCCTCTCAAGTAGCTGGGATTACAGGTGCCCACCACCACACCTGGCTAATTTTTTTATTTTTAGTAGAGACAGGGTTTCACCACATTGGCCAGGCTGGTCTTGAACTCCTGACCCCAGGTGATTTGCTCACCTCAGCCCCCTAAAGTGCTGAGATTATAGGTGTGAGCCACATATACCAGATTGTTGGATCCCAAAACATCAGACTCTGTAGTTTTGGGTTAGAACCTGAAAATTTTACTAATAAATTCCCAGGTAATGCCAATACTGCTGCTTGGGAGACAACACTTTGAAAACCACTGCCTAGTACATTCAGCCGTTTCTGACACTGACCCACAGACTCTAGATAAGCAACAGATGATGGAAGTACAGAGACACAGGTGTTATTCCTGTGAGGGCATGGCTAGGGGAACCCATGGCTTACAGACTCCAAAGAGGGAGTCCAGCCTTGCAGCCCCCATATGCCAGAGATGCCGAATTTATTTTAGAATGGATTTAATGCGGGTAAACAATATTGCCAACACCCCTACACCCCTCCTCGCCAACCCCAGGAGATATCAAAGGTTGGTTTCCAGTGGAAATAGGTAAACAAGCTATTTAGATAAACTCCCCTACATTCCCTTGTTATCTGCTCTTTGCTATTAACTCAAGGTAAGAGGATTAGGCTGCCTTCAGCAGGAACTCTTTCCCAAAGCTTTTGTAAAACCTCCTGGCCTTTCAAGAAGGTTCACATCTTTCCTATATTTTTCCCCACCACCCTGACCAATCTCCTATAACCAATGTCCAAATCAAAGAGGTTTTTATTTTAAGTAGAATAATAAAAAGCAATAAATAACTACTTGCTATAGCCTGAAAAGAATATCTTAGATTATCTACTATGATAACCCGAATTCCCAGGTCCTAATCCCAACCAAGAATTTGGTCTCAGATTCCCCTCTATTTCCTCTTTCTGTTCTCACCTCTTTCAACATAGACTCCTCTTGTAGACCTCTCATTGCTTAGCCTCTTCTACTGACCCAAATTCCAGCCCTGTTTCTGCTTAGCCCTATGATCTCCAGGATTAACCAAGTTCCAGACCTAGGAATATAACACTGTCTGCCACTGACATCTTTCCTCTCTTTTTATTGTTGTTTGTTACTAACTTGTCTCAAATTTCTAGCAGGTGTTTTTCTTAGCAAATGAAAAGATACCAAATGCCTTAAACTTCTAAAAGCTGACAAAGTTTAATACACCACCTCCACCTAAGGCATTTTACTAACCCTTAAATGAAAGAAACAACAGTAAGCAAAATTTCCAGAATGCAGTTACAGGGAGTGTAGGGCAAGTATTTGAGGAATAAGGATTTACCAAAGAGAAACACCTCATTTACCTCACTTTTAAGGCTGCCTAGGATACCTTTATTTTTCAAAATATTTTGTGATTTGGGAAAAAGATGGTCTGATAACTTTTTTCAGTCTACCTCATACCTCATCTAGAAATGACTGACCATTTAAGGAAATGAGCATCTCAATGGTGTTTGGCTTATAAATCCTTCTCAGATTGACTTCCAGCCTCCATTGCACAACATACACTATAAAGTTTACATGATTTGAGGTAATTCAAAAACAGTCTACTTAAAATCCATTGAGTTCCACTGTATACTAGCCTGTGAGTACCTCACAATACAAGAATTCCATGTCAAATTACTTTAAGGAAACTTGCATACTATATATCCCTGTTCTTCTCACAGTGATCACCCATAATATTACATGGTATGAGGAACCCAAGAGCAAAGAAACCTGTTTAATGTCTCAGCATTTCCCAGACCTTTCTTGAGCACAGAACCAGTTGTTTGCTCCATCTGTTTGGTTTAGATTTTACTCATTACACTTACGAATTCCTTGGAACCAACTTTGAGAAATCCTGCTAAGATTGGATGATTGGATAAAAACTGCAGCTATGAAGAATTGGGATGCGTAGGAAGAATATGCTTAGGAGACAACTTTTTTCCAAACGCCATCACCATTTAAGGCAAACAAATTATTTGAAAATAATTATAAAGCTTTTTATTATACTGAAAATGTAAACCTTGCTTTAATTCAAGTTTTAGAAGACTCCTACTTTTGTACAGCTGAGATAAAGTACTTACTACAACCTTTCTCTAACTTCCATATCATTTGCTGAAACTTTGCCATGCCAGAGGTTGTATGTCCTAAAAGTGGGATAAGAGACTGAAAGGAGTGCATTTCTTTTTACCAGCAGATGGCTTTCTTTTAACCTTCCAATTGCATAATCGGAGCTGCCAAGACTGTCATACTGAGTGGGTCAGAAGTAAAATGATTTTTAAAAAATATATTTGTAAAATAATTTCTTTCAATTACCTGCTGGAACCAAAGATATAATCTCAAGTTATAAAGGCTAGCATTCAACAGGCACTTGTTGTGGTGCTCCACAAGACCTATTAAACCAATTAACTCCTATGGAATTGTAGTCAGGTCAAAGAAAAGCCGTGATTGAAGTTGAGATGGGAAGTTCTTTTTCTAACACAGTGCCTAACTAAGCAAAAACGGCTAGTCTGTCTCTAAAACAACATCTTCTTTTTTCCTAAGCTTAGAACTATTTCTGCAGTAGCGTTTGCCACCATATATAGGCTTTCCATTATATGATGAGAAATATTTGTCATTTTATTTTGCTGGACAGTATTTTTGGTTAATGTATATGTTTCCTTAATAAAATAAAGCAATGTCTCCTAATGCTGTTGCTGAATGCTTAGAGAATGAAGGGAGGGAAGGAGAGAGGAGTCAGAAGTCAGGAGCAGAAAGGCAATGAATGTTCCAGGAGACCAAAGAGACTTTAAGACTGAAATTTCAACAATAATCCCTTATTAAAAACCAATATAGAAATTTCTAATTTCTGAATTACCGGGCTAATTCTGAGTCATTTCCAAATGTCCTTGTCACTTGCTACTGTTTTACTGAGTCTGGTCTGAAATCCTGAAACTGCAGCACAACTTTTGAAGTTAAAAATTTTCTACCTTCCAACTTCATCCTCTACTATTTTGTCAGTATTTTGAGTGATCTAAACATGTTACCAACAAAGAATGAAATTTGTCTAATTTTCTCATCATTTACAAATGTGATCTTTGTACACAGTATTATTTTTAACCTGGAGTCAGCACACAGGAAGAATAAATTTAGGAAGGAAGGGAGGAGGGGTGGAGTTAAAGACATACGATATCTAAATGCGATTTGGAGAGCTTCAAACATCTCAGTGCTATTCTCAAATGATGTGTGTGAAAGGCATCTTGGTACAATAACTTTGGAGGGAGATTTGGTAAGACCTTACAAAAGAAACACACTGAGACACGCACAAACACACACATGTGCACACAAACACACACTTGTTATCGAAACTATTAATTCCATGAGAATACCTTAAGATTGTTCAGACTTTTTCTCCAAAGATAATTTTATTTCATTAAAAAACTGCTGTCAAACAGCATTACATGCTAAAGATAAATCTTTCACCCATTCCCTTTGGTCCAGGAATAATTTTGCTTTCAGAACTATGTCTTATAGATAAGCTCATCATCATATTCAAAGCAGGCAGCATTGCTTATAGTTGCCAAAGATGCTTTAAAAATTAATTGGTAGTTGGCATGGTAAATAAATAATGCTTTGTTTATACTGTGGTGTATTATACATTTATAAAAAATGAGGTGGATCTTTGCATGCATATATGGAAGGAGTTCCAAAATATAATTAAAAAACAATGAATTTGCAGAAGAGTGTGAGGAGTATTCTGGAGTAAAAATCTATGTGTGTGTGTTTGCATATATATATATATATATATATATATATATATATATATATATACTTGCTCTTTTATACTTAGAAAATTTCTCACAGAGTTCTCTAGAAATATTACCATGGTTGATTCTGAAGCCTAGGAGTGGGATGGCTCCAGGGTCAGAAACAATTGTTTGCATGCACTTTTGTAGTACTAAAATTTTTTCATTTAAAAAAATCTAGATAATTTAAAATTTTTTATTAAAAGAACATTTTAGGACTTGAGGCTAAAGACACGTTTGTTCTAGATTGTTTAGATAGGAAAAAGGAGTCTTGTAAGATAAGCTTAAGGAAACTTATCTAAGCCATCCCAGTCTCTGTTTTACATACACTTGCTAACTTCATGTAATACAAGTAGATGGCCACCAAAACACTACTCTCCAGGAAGAGAAAACCAGACTCCTCCCATGACAATCTAAATGCACATCAACAACAGCAGTTAGAACGTAGAATAGAATATCAGAAATCTGGCTGCACAGCCAGATGCTCAGCACTTTCACTTCAGGGATCTCACCGTAACTAAAGGAACAATGGAACTGGCCACCAAACCCCTCTACACTGAAGGATATTCTCTACACACACACACACTAAAAAAAATGCTTAAAAACGAAAAGCAATGTTTAAATCTCCCTGGATAGGCTCACTATGTTCTTCATTTCAGCAAATTCAAAAGTGAAATACAAATCACATGAGCATACAGTTGTGTGGACCCATGCCAATAGACAAAGTAGGTAAATTCAGGGTTGTTTTTGTTCAATTGTTTTGTTTGTTTGTTTGTTTGTTTAGAGAGAGAGCCCATGTTGTTTGGTATGGGATCTACATTGGCTCATTTAAAGGATAATTGCAAAAATATAATTTTATATTGGAGAATGCAGATATAGATGAATAGTGTTTCTTTAAAAAATAGAAAGGAAGAAAGGAAGAAAGTCAATCAGTTCTTGATACTTAGTTACTAATTTTTTTAAGGACATGAGTTTAAATGAAAAGGAGTTGGCAGCTGGTTTCCTGAGCTACCAATCTGGTCTTCATTTCATTAAGTTACTCAGATCGGGATAAATGAAAATATAAGTAAAGTAATAGTTACTTTTCTTTTGACACAACTGAAAGAAACAATAATGAAATAATTTGATCTCACTGTAAAGACTTGATTATAATTTTTAAATGCACAAGCCAGCTCCAAGGTAGTTTATTGATTTTACTGATAAATATTAACTGAAATAAAGTACTTAAAAAGATAGAGAGGTCATTTTCAATAGTTGCATGTGAAACTATGTGAAAGCCGGCATGTGAAAGCTGGCTTTCACATGTACCCCAAAACCTAAAACACAATTTTATATATATATATATATATACACACATATATATAAAATTGCATATATATATATATATATATATATAGGCTGAAAATAGGATTATACAAGAGTTCATTCACTGTTTAAAAAATAATAATTTATAAATGTTAACAGGAAATTTATTTTTCTTCTCCTACAGAAAGCTAGACTGGCCAGGATCCGGGCAGCCAAAAGTGGAAGCGCAAATGCTTACATGCAGAGCAAACGGAATGGTTTACTCAGTAATCAGCTGCAGGTAGGATCAAGCACTTCTCTTTTTTTAATGTTCAGTTTATTGGTTTCATATTGATTTAGTTCTACTTCCATATAATTTTATTATGACAATGGCTATCAAAACAAGTGTTTTTTGTTGTTGTTGTTTTTAATTTGACCCTATACATCCCAGTTGGCTATAGCAGGTTAGAAACCGCACTGTGAAATATTGCCAGTGAATCATGATGTCTATTTATCATTGGGCAATATTTCTACACTGTCTCATATTAACAAAGTAAAGGTAAAAAATGCTCAATAATTCAAATGCCTAGTTCTTTTTTTATTTCAAGTTTACTTATCTTCCTTAACGTTCATTTGGGTCAGGGATTGGGGTGGGTGGCTAAAATAATGTCTTGTTTTACTTCACAACAAAGAAAGAACACCATTCAGTGTTAGGAAGGTCATATGACATAAACTACAATCTCAGAACATTTATTTTTACCCCAGAACTTTCCTTTAATATTTACGATTCCAATCTTCACTTTTACTTACAAAACAACCTTTATTTACGTACATGCGCATAAATGCAGTTTCAACATTTCCTAAGCACTAGGTTAAATTTGATTATCAAAACATAACAGCTTCCCATCTTACAAACACAGTTGGTAGTTGAATGAGTAAGAGAGATTTAAAATTTCAATTCAGGGAGGCATGTCTAAAAGACCAGACCATTCATTTGATGAAATTGAAAATGCCGATCATCCAACTTCACAGAAACTGCAACATTTGTACCTTCCTAGTTAAAAAAAAAAAAAATAAAACGTTGCCAGTTAATAGAGCAGATCTCTCTGTGGAAATGTGTAGCCGAGTTCGGGTTGTTTGCAAATAAAACAGAAAGCTCTTCTGCCTTCTCTTTGTTAACAGTCCTCAGAGGATGAGCAGGCTTTTGTTAGCAAATCCAGCTCCAGCTTTGAAACTCAGCACCACCACCTGCTTCACTGCCTGGAAAAAACCACGGTAAGGAGACAGCATGACTGCCTTCCTCTGCTCTCTGACAGTAATTCCATTTGTTTTTGTGCATACTTAATGCTTCCGAGTGTGATTTTACTGTCTGCATTACTGGAAAACATACTAAAAAAACAAACAAACAAAAACCCGACAATATTTGAAATTACTTGGAAAGACTGTAATGACATTTCAACTTGAAAAGTATTTTAGAAACTTATTTAGAATGTTTTATTCTTAGCAGCTATCTTAACTCTAGTCTAAGAAGTCACTTAATGCAGATGAAGATTGGTCTTCCAACAGTGAATCCTACACAATATCATTTTCCGTGATTCTTAAAATGCTGATTAGATAGAAAAAAAAAGTAATGATGCTTGAGGGTTCCTAACATCTAGGTCAAGGGTATAGCAATAGCAATAACAAAAAATAGAGACAATGGAATACAAGCATTTGTTTCATTCACAGCCATAATGAATAGAGATAATAGAAACTACTCTCATTAGAAAAATGACTAATGTAATCACTGGTATGCCCCTGGAGTGAGTATGTATTTCTTCGCGTACAAGCCCTCATTTCAACCTCCTCATTGGCAAATGTACCAATTTCTTAGCCAGTTTGATCATCACAGTCTATGATGATCACAGAGAACAAAACCTTCACCCTATTTGAATCATGTCAGCCCACTCACTCTCGGGCAACACATGATTTTTCTTCTCAGTTCCAAAGGATTACCTGTCCATGTACTTATTTGCCAATAGAGTCATTCAGCAAATATTTACTACTTACCAACTATGTGCCCAATAGCGAGCCAGATCCAAGAAACGCCATGAAATGAGGTGTGGCCTCTGCTGCCATTTAGCCTCCATTTGTAAAACAAAACCCCAGACAGACAGCGGTGTTACTGGAAAAGAGCAGTGAACATGGAAAGTAACAATGGTACCACAGTCAAGGGAGCAAAGGGGGCAGAGCCATGTGGGGACAGGTCAGGCAATGCTTCCTGGAGGAACTTAAGTAGTGACCTGCAGGGTGACTAAGAGTTAACTAGGCAGAGCAATGAAGATTGAATAACAGGTGATATAAGCACCCAAAGAAGAAAAGAACTCAGCCTAGGAGGAAGTGAAAAAATTTGAGGGTGGTCAGAAGGAGAGAGTGTAGCATGGCAAAAGAAGATGTGAAGGGAAAGGCAGTGGCCAGGTATGTTAGGCTTTGCAGGCATGTGAACAATTTTTATCTTTAGCCCATGAAAATTATTTAACGGTTTTAAACAACGTAGTAACAGGATTATACTTGCGTTTTTAAATAAAGATATGGACAGGTCTATAACCTAGTAGGATAAATTTGAAAGTTAAATGATAGATTAATAATAAAATGTTGGGTGGGTGCGGTGGCTCATGCCTGTAATCCCAGCACTTTGGGAGGCCAGGGTGGGTGGGTCACCTGAGGTCAGGAGCTCAAGACCAGCCTGGTCAACATGGTGAAACCCTGTCTCTACTAAAAATACAAAAAAATCAGCCAGACGTGGTGGTGGGAGCCTGTAATCCCAGCTACTCAGGAGGCGGAGGTAGGAGAATTGCTTGAACCCAGGAGGCAGAGGTTACAGTGAGCTGAGATGACGCCATTGCATTCCTGCCTGGACAACGAAGTGAGACTCCACCTCAAAATAATTAAATAAATAAAATGTTTTTATTCATATCTTTTTTGTTTTCATTATTTTCCTTTTTTAAGGGCTTTTTTAAAATCAAAAATCACTTAACACCAACTAATATAGTTTTTACTGAGCTATCTACAAAAGTATGTAGTAACCTATAGCAGAATGTCTCCTGCACTTAGAGTCACTGATGAGATTAATTAGAATCTCATGCATTGTAACTTAGGTATGTGAAACCATGCATTATAAAAGAAGAAAACAGATTGTGAATCTTTTGTGCACTGTTTTTTCTTTGAAATTTAATATTTAACATGAAATTCTGTCTTGCAGGTTATATTATTCTCTAGACTTTAAAGACTAGAATGTTAAATTTCATTTATTTCAAAATGCTTGTCTCAGCAAACAAATGACAAAATGAGTAACTAAAATGTAATCTAGTTCTTATTAGCCAGTGTCTTGCTTCAATTGTTTTACTAATACTTTAGGATGAGAGACGGTTAAGTGGAATTTGGTATGTGCAAAGCCTTCCATTGTAAGACTACCCCTACCCACGCAAAGAAAAACGAAATACTAATTGAGGTCATTCTCTCATAGTTCAAACCAAAAATGCTTTCTCTTATATTTATAAGGTGAAATTCTTGCATAAGCATTTCAGGGAGCTTTTTGTTAAATGTTTTAAAAGCAAAATTGATACCATGTTTCTATCAAATATGATATGTGAAATGATGCCTATTACTGTTTGCTACCGGGCTGAAAGTTAGGAAACTGGGATGAAAAAACCCCGAACGCGTACAGAGATCATGAGTACAGCCAGTGATGCCAGGGATGCATCACAGAGATTACAAAAAAGGCCACAAAAGTTCAATGCTAATCCCTTCTGGGTCAAACACAAAGTGACACATTCAGCAGACAATTATATTTTTCTTACATAAATAATAAGTTATATTTTCTACACTGAGCATTTTTAGAGGAACATATAAAAAATACATAGTGTCTTAGAAATCTCATTTTCCAATTTAGAAATGTTTTCATCTCGTGTGAAAATGTTTGCTAATATATAACAGACAATCTAACTTGAGGCATTCTATTAAAATAAGCTCTTTTCCGTAACTTCAACCTGTTTAAAAAATAAAGTCTGTGGAAATTTATAACTTCCCTGTAGGTTTAATCTACATTCGTTTTTAAGAGTTTTTTTTTCCCCTTAGCTTATACCTTCCTATATTTAAATAAATAAATGATATTTCAAGATAAATTTAGTCAATAAAGAGACATTAAATCAGCCTATAGATGTCAATCTCTCGGTCTAACTACAGAGATATTTCCACATAAATGCCAAAAAGGAAGTGGTTTGATATTCTAATTTTTATGAAAATGGTTTTATTTAAACATCGTATCAAGTCTAACTGTACTTGGGCATATTTGAGCTTTAAAAATAAAGCTGTGTACTTCCTTTTTAAAAATATGCTTCTCTGTTTCTTCATTTACTTACAATTGTGGAACAGAATCATGAGTTTGTGGACGAACAAGTCTTTGAAGAAAGCTGCATGGAAGTTACAACTGTTAATCGTCCTTCAAGTCACAGTCCCTCACTGTCTTCACAACAAGGAGTCACCAGCACTTGCTGTTCACGAAGACACAAAAAAACTTTTCGCATCCCCAATGCCAACGTGTCAGGAAGCCATCGAGGTAGTGTACAAGAACTCAGCACGATTCAGATCAGATGTGTGGAGAGAACACCTCTATCTAACAGGTACCTGAGATTAATCTGTGCTGTCTACACACCTGTGCCGGTTCCCAGGGTGTGTCTTCTGCACTCATGTTGCCACTTATGTGGCATCTGAATCCCTAGCTCCTATAGTTCCGGCAGATGCAAAACTGGCATTGTAACAAGTAGGAAAATGGTTCTACTGGCATATCCATAAAGGGTTAAAAGTAACAGTTATATCAGTATTAAAAGAGTCTAAAGAAGAAAAGATGGTTGGGTGCACATAAATGTGTTTTTCTCTCTTCCACTCCACGACTTTTTCTTATTTGGGCAAGGACTTTATACTCATGAGTCCCTTATGTATTAAAATAGTCTGAAATGATGGTGGACACTACTAAAAGAAACAAATGAAATTGAGATCAATATGGCTAAAAATTATTTACAGCACCTAAAAATATACACACTCTAACAGTAAAAAATGAAAACTCTCCCTACACATATCTTTTCTATCAATATATAATTTTGATCATAAAGGTATTTTTGGCCATATCAAATGCAAAATCAACATAATCCAAAAAATAAAATACTTAAATTGTTTACCTCCGGTTAGTTTGTGAACAATTTAAGTAAAACTTCCATATTGAGATTTTCCTTTTGCTTTCCCTTATTCACTATTTTTACCACAAACATGTAAAAAGAAAAAGTAGTACATTTAAACAATATATGTCATTAAAAAAATCACTTTCTGCCAAAATAATTTTATTTTGCTCTTCACATTGAATAGCGTATATTGTTAGAGTGAGAGTCTGTAAATTCAGTCCTACTTCTTTGCTGGAATTCAAAAGTCTTTGTTGAAAACCTGGATGAGATTCTGAATTCAGGTGATGTTGATTTACATAAACTGGATGTCTCTGAGGCTAAATTAAAATTTGGAGCCATAAGACTTCTGTCTTCAAGATATTTTAGCTTTGCAGTCTTATATCCTTTATCAAAAGAAATCAACAGTGGAAAAGTCTCTAGAAAAAAAAATCTTAGGACACAAACAACCTAATTATGTTTTCCATGAAAATAAAATAATTAGTTTCAAGCTTCTCCTCTCTCCTTTCCCATTTATCCCCTTCTCCATATAGAGTATACAATTCATGCAAGAATACCATTTGGGAAAACCTTGAAATATTAGATATTAATAGCTAATTTTTTTTTTAATTTTTGTAATATGTTGTCATCATTAAGTTGAGAGATTTGGGGACATTACATATCCCCAAAAGACATAAAAATAAAAACATTCTGTGGTCAAAAGAATTAAGAAATCTCTATGATATGGCTCTTTCACAGCAGTTTCTCAGACCTCTCAGAGGTCGTGTCTTAAAACTACTTTGCTCAGTCCAGGCTGTCCAAATCTTACTTGATGCTCTTTCTTCTTACATTTTTTTTTTTTAGAATACATTCAGTTTGATAAATATTGGATGGGACTAAGTTGAAGTGTCTTTTAGAAATTTATTTAATGTTAATAACTGACTAATGTTCACCTTAACATAGATTAAGGTTTGGTGTTTGATATTTTTAATTATAGTAACTTTTCTTAGATAATTATATATTTCTATAAGCATTACAACACATATTTCTCAGTTGTATGAAAAAAAATTTAAGTAAACAACTTACTTTCCTAAATCTTTTTTTTTTTTCCTATCAGCCGATCCAGTTTAAATGCCAAAATGGAAGAGTGTGTTAAACTAAACTGTGAACAACCTTATGTGACTACAGCAATAATAAGCATCCCGACACCTCCAGTTACCACACCAGAAGGAGACGACAGGCCAGAGTCTCCTGAGTACTCAGGAGGAAATATTGTCAGAGTCTCCGCTTTGTAAGACAATTGGAATAAAGTCTAAGAGAATTTGAACCCTGGCTATGAAAAGAATCTCAACATAGAAGAAAGAAGAAACAATAAATATTCCGCAGATTAAGGCAGCAAAGCAAGAAGGTTGGTAGTGAAACAAAAACAAAGCTTCGATTCTTAAGGATGTGAATAAAACCACCAAATGGCATTTCTAGACAGTTTGACCTGTTATACAGAGTAATATTCTGTGGCCCTTTGACTTTGTGAATGAGCACAATGAAATGCCACCTATTGATGCTTCTTATGATCAGAACTCTTTTTTAATAAAATAAATAAAATAAATCTTTGAACATAATGTTCCAGTTGAATGCAAAACAAAAAAAAATATGGAAAACATTTTGATAAAATTTTTTCCTGTTAAAACCATGAACATTGGCTATGATGAAGATTATTACATGTGAAAAAAAAAAAAAAACTCACATGACATATTTGTATTGACTGAAGGAAACCATCATAATGCATGCTAGAATTCTTTGAAGCAGTGATCTCAGTTTCCTTATGTTGTCTTCAGAATAGGCATGATAAACTATAATTGTAGAAAGGGGTAATTTCTGTGCACTTACAACAAGCTGAGTGTTCATGTTCCATGGTGAGCTGTGCAAATAAACTCCTTTTAGAACTGCAGTATTTCTCATGGGGATGCTCATTAGTAAATCTAAAGTGTTCAGATAGTTCAGTATTAATTATCATTTAACTTTGCACCTAGATACTGTTACAACTGCAATAATTCATTGTACAACTGTTGTATCAGGAATCAGGATTTTTTTGTTGTACTTTCCAGATCTTTATAGATACGGTAAGAGCCATGTTCGTAGAAAAACTTTTGGTGTGGCCAGGTTTTAGGTAACTTTTTAATCCAAAACTATTGTGCCATAAATGTTTTTCAGTAATATTCTTTGGTCCATTGTATTCCTGTGACACAGTGCATTATCTGTTCTTGTATTTCTATAGCACCTTTATATTGGGTTTATCATCATCAACAAGACTAATGTTTACTGTAGTTTAAGTGACTTCCCTACATTTGTATTTCCAAATAAATTATCTTGTAAGTAGATTGTCATCAATCCCCTTATCAAAAACTAGAAAAAAAGGAGTTGACCCATATAAATTATCTCTAACGTCTTTGTTGTTTATGGAAAAGCCCAGATCCTGGATATATCACTATGTATTTTATGAAAAGAATTGACTGGGACTAATATCACAGGCTCAGTGATTTCAGAATCTTACTTGATGTATTATTTATTTTGCTTTAGATCTTGAATACATTTTGAGAATCACTGACGTGAATTGAAATGTAGAGATAAACTGGAGTGCTTTATTTGGCAATATTTGATGAAGGCATGCTTTCTACATTATTCAGGAAGGCAGAACGAATTTATCTCAAAAAGGTTCCTGTGTATTGCAAGGTACAATTTTCTCCAGTAAATCAGAAGGACAGGAGTTTGATGATGCAAAGTTGATCTCTGTACATTTAAGTGAAAAGTCTTTATAACTTTTCACCCTTAAAATATTTCAGCAGACATGTCTGCACGTGACAGTGTAAAAAAAATTTAATGTCAAATGCAAAGTTTTTGTTCATTCCAAGCCACCACTGTAAGGAATAAAGCTTAGCTTCTGTACATGGAAAGATTTAATACTTATCCCTCTATTAGAGATGAGATATTTTAAATGCTTATCATATTTTCTCATAAAAAGGGATTAATCCAACCATTTTCAAGTAAAGCCAGAAGTTTTTGATTCCCATTTCTAGAATAGCTTCTAGAACAGTGCTATGCACATAGTAGATCTTAATAAACATTTGCTGAGTGAAAGTAAGATAAACTTAGCTATCTCTTGGGAAGAACTGGCTTTATTCCTAGTACATCTTTTAAAAAGTTACTAATCTTCCAGCAGTGCAAATATTAACAATTATATTAACACCTGCCTCATGCCACTTTATGCTTCTAGAGCAATGTCTAGTGGAACTTATTTGATGGCATTTATTGAAAACTTTTTAAAAAGTAGACTAAGAGACCGCAGTCAGGAATACTTATGTCTTTTGATTCCCAATGGAAGTTCTATTTTCATGTTCTTAATATTACATAAAAGAAAATGCAATTAGATTACTTTGATTAACAATTCTGCCACATGTTTTGATTTATCACTTATCCAAAATTATTGATTTTATTAGGCTTTTGGAAAAGAAAAAAACCTTTTTTGATGTTTTAGGTGATTTAAAAATATACTGTGTTGGTGGTGAATGACTATTGATGACTGTGTTAAGTGCATCTGTATTGTAAGTGAAATGTAATTATTTCTGTGTACCATATGGAGTAACTAAGGTCATTGTTTTTGACAATTTTGTTCGAAATTCATATATCTTATTTCAAAGGATAGCATAATACCTGCATTATGCTGGAAAAAATAGACCTTTGGAGAATACTTAAATAAAACATGTGCATGCTTGAACAGGAGAAAATGGTTGACTGTCGCCCTATTTTCTTAGATTTCATTCCTTTCCCAAAATTAGGATATGCCACACTCATAATACACATGTGGGAGGACACTGTGAAACGTACAACTCAAAGGAAACAACAATTGAAAGTAATGCTTAACTCTCATCTGAATGGGTGGAGACTGTAGCTTTTGCCAGTAACGGGTATTAAGGCAGACATTTTAACAGAAAAGACAGTATCAACTAAGGAAAGCCAGTCCCTAAACCTTATATACTTCTTAAACACCACTATTTGAATTAAACAGAGAAGTTCTGAGGTAATGGTTTTGGTCAGAAATTAATTAAATTCTTAATCAAAGGCTTTATTTAAGAAAGCAAGGTGATTTGTCTAGCTATTTGTGTGTATGTATGTATATATGTAGATACATATTTATTCATACACATACACATAGATTTTCATTCATTTTTAATATGCATACACTAGTGGCTTCTCAATATTCTGGCAAGGATAAAAAGCAAGAAAATGTTAAGAGTTTATTAGAAGAAGGAAAAAGACAAAGGAAATTATTTAGTAGAAAGACTGATTTCAACTGGTGATATATATGATCCTCTTGGTGGATAGTCTCTATATTTTCTTGTTAATTATTTTCATTTATAGCCTTTGATATATTAGGTGTCAATCTTGCATTAAAAAGTTCAAAACATCTCCCCATTCCTTCAACTTAGTCACAATGTTGGCTTAGAAATAACCTCTGGGGAGTTATAATATGTCTGCCAGTAACATCGCTTAAAAGAATAAAATAGGATTCTTGAAATTAAATTGATGGCTCCTCAGAGTTTCATAAGAAAGGTGTCTTCTCTTCCCTACAGTGCCATTAAGGTGTTTGTTTTATTAACTCACAGGTACAAATATGGTTATTACTCTGCACTGTGTAAACATCTGAATTTTCAACACAATTATGTAGGCACACTGTATTTTTTTAATGAAAGTTTAAATTGTTTCTGCAAAGGTTTAAATCGTATCTACTTCAGCTGGTTGTATTAGGATAGTAAAATATTCTTTACAGAGTTAGCTTTTTTACTTCTAAGAAATTACAAGTTTTGAACAGCAAGTTTGCTTAAGATAACTGTAAGATATAATCATTATCAAATATTCTAGTTGAAAATAGCATTAAATCCATATCATACCTTTAATCTTCTTCTTTACTGCCTGCTCTGCCTTTTTTCTCCATTATCTTCAAGCATTAATTATTATTATAGCAGATTATTCTCCCCCTTTCCCTAATTACTTCTTTCTCTAGCTTCTCTATGGAAATGCTTCAGGTAACTAATATTCATTCTACATATAATTCAATTTCTTGAATACAGATGATGGGCCACACATAGTGATAGATGCCAGAGAAATACAGATTAAGGAACCAGATCAAATCCTTTTTAAGGAATTACATAGTGGAAAATATCTCAACTCTCTTCTTTACACTACTACTCATAATCTTACACTTCAAATTTTCACTTTTCCATTTTGACAGTCACTCTTCTACTTCAGTCTCCTGAACACATCTCTCCAACAGAGGTTACATGATGATACTGTTCTTCAAGGTGTTTTCTAAAATATTTTCATCACATTATTAAAATCTTTCTTCGGTAGGCAATGGTTCTCTCTCTATTGGACTGGCAGGCAGGGAAAATGAATTCCTACCTGCCCAGAGAAAGAACAGGAAACAGAGTAAAACAAAACCCAAAAGAGGAGGCGCTTCATGTTTATGTATCATGTTAAAGTTAAAAGGAAAAAAAACTTTCTCAAGTATCCACTCTACCTTTTCAACTATAATTTCAAAGAATGTATAGGACGCTATTAAAATAGTTCTGCAGGAGGACTAATACACCACACCTGAAATTCTATCATCTGATTAATCCTATTGAAATATCTGAGTGATTGTGAAAACAGAAAGGTAAGTCTGTAATCAGGGGCACTCACCAAAAAAGGTGGGCCTGGTTGGTTCACATCAATTCCAAAGGAAAAGGAGGGCTGAAGAAGGATATTGAATGAGTAGGTGACAAATATTTGGAGGGAGATTTGGAGGAACCCTGGAAGACGAAAGTAGGATATTGACAAGGGCTACAAGATGGTAGAGGCATCCTTGGGCTTTGACTCTAATTGAAAATTCAGAATTTTGGCCTGGCGCAATGGCTCATACCTGCAATTCTAGCACTTTGGGAGGGCAAGACAGGTGGATTACTTGAGGTCAGGAGTTCAACAGAAGCCTGGTCAACTGGTGAAACCCTGTCTCTACTAAAAAAAAAAAATAAATAAATAAATAAAATAGCAGGATGTCATGGTGCATGACTGATTGTAATCTCCACTACTTGGGAGTCTGAGGCAAGAGAATTGCTTGAACTGGAGAGGTGGAGGTTACAATGAGCTGAGAATGTGCCACTACATTCCTGCCTTGGCAAAAGAGAGAAACTCCTTCAAAAAAAAGAAAGAAAGAAAGAAAGAAAAGCCAGAATTTAGAGTTTGATTTAGACTAATTTAATGCCTTGATTAGACCTACACATTTCGGCACCAAACATTCGTTTACCCTATTAGCAGTTTTTAATAGTCATACACCAATAATTCCCAAACACCTCCTAAGCTACCTACAAAACAAAGAACAGAACTCTAAAACTACCAGAATAAGGTATTTCTCCAAGACATGTGAAAGTGAGTTGAAAGAGCCAAGGCTGAGTGGACCTTGAATTGAGTAGTGGGCTTTGTTAAATTTCCCAATCAGAGACACCTTCTTGGAGAGGCAGAAGATTTCATTATGAAGGATGTAACAATTTCAAAAGTGAAAATGTCATGTGCATCATAATTTTACACAGCAATCACTCTGGACATACATTAATTTATTGCCAATCAATTTGATTTTTAAAAAAAGTAAACTCACAGAAGTAAAATCCTAATGCACACATTTCAATTTATGCTTTCTTTCTTCAATAGATTAACAGTGAGTACTAAATAATGATGATTCCAACAACCATGAAAAGATAGAAATAATGACCATTAACTTTATTGGATATTAAATATAGGCTAAGCACTGTGCTAATGATTTCACATGTATCAATACATTTGGTTATTATTAGCCACATTTTATGTTGGAAAACTACTACTGAAAAATTATGAGTCTGAGTTTTCCTAATTTAGATAATATAAAAGTTTAAACTGAATTATGTATTTCTATGACAGAGTTCTATTGTGTAGCATTATTGATATGATTTTTTCTTTTAGACTAAAAGAGAAATGAAAGGAAATGGGGATGGGACACAGAGGGAGTCCTGGGCATATCTGTGCTCTAGTGATTACAGTGTCATTATCAAAGATGATCATTTTTTCTTCCCATTTTCTTTAGTCTAACACATTTTATCATCTTGTAGTGTTCTGATAATAACTGCTTTCTAATTGACTATTGGTAAATTGAAATAAAATGGAACCTAGCTGGGAAATATATTACTGTCCTAATTGACAAATATTTTTCCAACAACTCCATATCAGTACAGCATACCCATTTAGTTTATTTTCCAGTGACAGAGATAATTACATGTTAGAGCACCTATTATTTCTCACTTGCTCCCCTTTTTAAATAAGGTCTGCCAAAATTTTCAAGGTTGTTCATTAGGGCTGCAGTTATAGCCTGCAGCATCTAATTGGTGCACAGTTCAAGTCCTGGAGGCTGGTAATGAAACTGAAATATTTGGAATTAATATCAATAACCACAATTCTCACGCTTCATTATCTTTTGTATCTTCCTAAATTCTTGCCAGCAAAAATTTCAGAGGATGACAACAAAGTACCTACTGGCATTTAATACCACACACAAAAGAAGGTGCAGAGAGATTCAGCTTAGGCAAAATAAGTGCATAACTCAGTATCCTAAATTAAAACAATATAATTAAAATATGATTGGATTTTTTTCAATCCTGTTGTTCCAACCCATCCTCACAAACATTTCCAAAATTTTTCTGAAGGTCATTGAAAATTTTTGTTTGTTCCTAATACAATAAAAAACTCCAATAAAGGTGTAAACACAGACATTTGATTTATTCAGAACTGTAGAAAATTTAATGTACCTTTTAAAATGATACTTGGGATATAAGTACTTGCCATAAAACTTCTTACTTGGGCTTGATCGTTTGCTTGTTTTATGTTCCAAAATAACACTGGTCTATTAAATAATATCTCTTTACTTTCCACTTCAATCTTTCCCTTTCTACTTCTCAAATGGTAAATGTATTCATTGTAAATATCAATATTGTGTCCAAAATTTTCTTTACATGAGAAATTAAGATGCAATCATAATTTAAAAGACATGTATAGGAAATTAATGTCACATATAGCTGATTATTGTCAAATTCTGATGATGAATTATATAAATTTATTAAATTTATATAATTTAATTATATATTTTCTAAAATATGCAAATTTTATTATAAAATAATAGAAGTTCCCCAAGTTGTCATACAGAAGGATGCAAACTGCTAATACACCACAGCTAGACCCTTAAACAAAAATCACACTACACTATGAAAACGAGTCACACATATACAAAAACAAGTACATGGTGTCACAGGCCACATAGCAATGTTTCAGTTAAGGATGAACTACATATTTGAGGGTGGTCCCAACAGATTATAATACTGTATTTTTACTCTACCTTTTCTATATTTAGTTTCACAAATACTCATCATTGTGTTGCCATTGCCTACAGTATTCAGTACAGTAACATGCTGTACAGGCTTGTAGCTAAGAGCAATAGGGTTTACCATATAGCCTAGGTGTATAGCTTTACCATATAACCTAGGCTATACTATCTAGGTTTGTGTACATCCACTCTATGATGTTCTCACAAGGACAAAATAGCCTAATGACATGTTTATCAGAACTCATCCCTGTTTTTGTGTGTGTGTGCGTGTGTGTGTACACATATGTGTATATTAGACAGCTCTTCTAATATCTAAAATGAAATTAATTTATTTATCTGAAT